GAAGGAAACATGTAGCGAAGGAACCCACTGTCGACTTATAAACTCGCCATGGCAGAATGTGTGGCCGTTAAGACGATAGGAAAAGAATTCATTCAAAGAAATATTGTAAAATATTGTCATATTAAAAACAAAAGTATTTAGTTCTGGCCTTTCGAATGTAATATGCTTTTCAAATTGTTGTAAGTAAGCAGGCAGTAAGCAGTTTATTTCGAAAATGGATTACGGTTTTGTTTCTTGCTCTTTTTTCTCTTTCGATAAATTTTTCTTTCTCATTTATTATATAAGTTACGTTTTTTTCAAATCCACATGAACGAGCAGTAGTCTGAAACCTGTTGGTTTTCTAAATACAGGTGACTATCAGCGCGTATTGAAACTACACCAGTCATTGCTTAAGACTGGTCATGTGGATACTTTATATGGGCGCCAGTAAGCGGTTTGTTTTTTATTGTCTGCCTAAGTTGGACTGAACTTGTGGTTGCTAGTGTTTTGCTCAAAAAGTCTTGCTCACTAGTGTTTGAAATATTATTTGTGCATTGATACTCATACTTTGATTGCAGATAAACAAGGTTTATTAAAACAGTTATTTTCTGTCGCCTGACAGACTAAGTGTATTGCTTCGTTTTAATAAATTGTGTTTATGCTGTATTTCAGTCGAAATAGAATTTAACAAAACGCAAAGAGCCTCTATCCATATCCCAGTAAAAAGCTACGTCCCACTGTCTCTCTCAGTACTTTTCCGTCATTGTTGGAGTTAGTTCTTCCTGCTTAGAAACGTAAAGAAACATCATCATCATAAGGATCACATTTTCGCCTAGTAAGCAACCTTGTTTTAAACATGTTTAGCACTCGCTTTGAAATGTTGATTGTAATGGTCGTTTACATTAGGTATGTAATGTGCCTATGTTACGACTAGATATCTCGGTAATGGCAAGGGTCAAAAATGACGACGCTGGTAATCGGAAGTCTGAGAGACACGTGTTGCCCATGCGACGTTAGCATTTAACGACGTATGGTCTGCAGATTATTCGTAATCGTTGCTTGTACTGTTTGTCGGTAAGAAAGCTGTTAAACAGCGTGCGATGAAATCAGCCACGGGTCTTTATTTCCTTACAGCGGTGATATCAAAAGCAGTTGCT